CTGTCTCTACACATTCAAAATCCTCAACCCTCTTTGCAACCTACTCCTTCCTTGCTCTCATGAAGTAAACTTCTTACCAATACAAATGGCCCCTGACTTACAAATGGTTCAACTTAACAATTTTTTGACTTAACGATGGGCTTATCAGAGTATTAAATGCATTCTGACTTATAATATTTTCAAGTTAAAATGGGTTTAAGGGGTGTAACTCCATCATAAGTCAAGAAGCATCTGTATTCCTCAAAAGACAGCTATCATCAGACATGAGTATCCTCTTCAAATTAATTACTACACTACATGAATACCAGAGTATAGCCTACAACAGGGACCACTCCCTCCTCCAAACCACTTATTAACTGAGCTACTCAACTAAAACATAACAAATATTATTTTCATTATCCTCTATAGACATATCCTGTCTCCCAATTCAATAAATTCTTAGATGCAGGTCTTAAATTTTCAGAGCTTCTTATATACCCAACACTTACTGAGTAATACATATTCAATAAATAGCTAATGATCTTCCAGCTTCCATAGCTTACCAGTGTTAACAAAAAAATAAAAGAAAGAAGTGTCTCAATCAGTAGAGGTTTATTGAGCCATACTTTGAGAACACGCCTGGGAAAAACAAGACATCGAAGCATCTGTGACCCTCACTTTCCAAAGACGGCTTTGAGAACTCAGTATTCTAGGGGAGAGCATGCAGGAGGGAAAAAATGGGGGGAAGGAAGTAGGCAGTGAGGCAAAGGGTTACATTCTCCTGAGGCTCTAATTAGAGCTCAATAAATCTACCTTCTACATAAGATAATGCACACATCTGAAGAGAGGGAGAAAAGAGTCAATTATGCAACCATGTCAGGGTAGGTGTTAAGAGTGATTGATCTCATCTTGTCCTGGTTCTGTACCTGGGAAGATAAGCTTGCAATCAACATTTTCAGTGTGAGATTTAACAGAACTTAATTTCAGGAGTTAAATTTAGGTTGCAGACCCAAGATTACAATTGGCATGTGCTTGTTTTATAAGAGAATATGTATCTTGAAAGATTTAGGAGCCTGCAAGGAATTTCCTTGTGAGCAATTTGGGGAGGAGGCCACCTGAAGAGGTATATGGCCTTTTGTCGTTGTGGGAACCTAGCTTATGTGTAAGACTATGACCTAACATTGTGAAATTACAAACTATCTGTTTAGGGGAAAAGAATGGCAGTGTTGCAAGACTCACATCCCAGGCTTAACCTTCCCCTTGTCATAGTGAGTTTGTGGGCCTTAAGAGTTTTATTTTCTTTTACACCATCAAAAGGCTTGTTAATGTTTTGACACTAGTTTACATTACTTTTTTTTAATCACCCCTCCCAGTCTTCTATCTGTACATCTTTGCTTCTCCCATTTACCCTGTCTACCCTCGCTTCTGTCTACTCACATGTTGCACATACTTCAAGGCCAAATTCAACTGTTAAGCATATAGCCTTCCCAGACCAATGTCACACTAGCCTAAATTTATAGCATTTATTATCTATACTAACACTTCCAAAAATGTATTCCAAGAAACATTAACATGCTTAAGGGTATTAATGAGTGGCCTACTAAGTTTGTGAATATTATAGGCTGTATCTCTCAGTCTTTCAAAGTCACAAGGTAAATTATCTTTTTAAAGTCTCTGAGAATTCCTACAATGAAGACCCAAAGTTAATTTAACCCAGCAATTCTAAAACTTCTGTGATAATGGAACATTTATTTCAGTGAAAACCAATTAACATTTGGAAGTACACAAGCAGTCTCCAAAGTACAATTTGGGATATTATAGTTTTTAGTTTTTGATTATTTAGCATTAACTATACTTTTTGATACCTTTTACGCTGCTATTAAACTTACAGATGTTTATGTCTGTGTGCCTCCAAAAACTAGGCTGGAGACTCCCTGGGAGCAGAGACTATTTCTAGTTCCTTCTTTTCTTCCCTACAGTGTCTGGTACAATGCAGATGTGAGGACAATACTAATATATTCCACACCATCACAAGCTGCACATTTAGTCTCCTTTTCTTAAGGCAGAATATGGTGTTGCGGGTATTCTGGACATTAAAAGAACTACAGAGAATCAAAACCTAGATCTTTTATTAAAGATCTTTCTGAACCACAGAGTATTTCACTCAAGCAACCAATCTCGAACTTAAAAATCTGTAACTGATGACTTAAACATACATGTTTGTAATGGAGACTTTTAAGGGCTGAGTTATGTCCTCCAAAAATTCATATATTGAAATCCTAACCCCTCAGAACGTGACAGTATTTGGAGATAGGACCGTTACAGAGGTAATGAAGTTTAAATGAGGTGATATGGGTAGGCCCATCCAATCTGTTGACCTTAAAAGAAGAAACCTGGGCACACACACACAAACATAAGGGATGTACATGCCTAAAGGAAAGACTATGTAAGGTCCTAGAGAAAAGGTGGCCAAATGCAGGCCAAGGAGAAAGAGGCCTCTGAAAAAATCAAAGATCTTGGCTTTCCAGCCTCCAGAATTATGAGAAAATAAATTTCTTTTGCTTAAACCACACAGTCTGTGGTATTTTGTTATGGCAGCCCTTGCAGACTAACAGAGATGCCCTACCTTCACTGTAACACACAGACACATGCATGTGCACACACAAAAGTACCTTTTCTGAGAGTGTTAGTTACTGATTAGCAAAAATGCTGTATGTTCACAAAAAAGTGATCAAAACAGTGAGGAAACCTGAAATTACATGAGAACTAGTTGAAGAAACTGGGAACTGGAAAAAAAATAAATGGTGGCGAGGAAGCTGGGGGAAGGACTGTTGAAAGGGAGCGATTATCCATGTAAAAGTGAAGAAAAATGAACTAATGTATGGTTAAAAATAGAGAAATTTCAACTTAAAATAGGAACTTTTAATAATTAGACCTATATAAATATGGGATGAGGTGTACAATGGAAGGGTTTCCCATCACTGGAGATGAAAAAGCACAGGCTGGGCAATCCCCTTAGCAGGAATGTTTTAGGATAAACTGAATGTCAGATGGGAAGTAGGACTAGAAGCCTCTTAGATTCTTCCAGCACAATGTCTCTAAGTCTCTAAAATATCTGTCTTGCTCCAACCCACTGCAGCACCTGCTCCTACTGACACTGCCAAGGGGAGAAAGAAGAAAAAGATGTATTCTTGTAATCCTGTCATCACCTCTGATGTTATGTTCTGTGGAAACAAGGCCGTAGAGAGTAAGTACAGTTTATGGAATCAGCCACAAAGCTAAATATAACTTATATGAATTTAAATGTCAGTCAATATTGTCTCTATGGTAGAAATATGTCCTATATTCCAAATTAACTCAAAACAAATTTGTATTTATAAAGGAACCCACTTATATCACCTTCCATGCTGTATTATTTCATATATGCTAGATTTTGCTTCCCTGAAATCTAACCTCATGTAAACCGAGACTACTGTTTAGGTTTGTTTTGTTTTGTTTTTTTGAGACAGAGTTTTGCTCTTGTCACCCAGGCTGGAGTGCAATGGTGTGATCTCAGTTCACTGCAACCACCACCTCCTGAGTTCAAGCAATTCTCCTTCCTCAGCGTCCCTAGTAGCTGGGATTACAGGCGCCTGCCACCATGCCCAGCTACTTTTTGTATTTTTATAGAGACGGAGTTTCACCACATTAGCCAGACTAGTCTCGTACTCCTGACTTCAGGTGATCCATCTGCCTAGGCCTCCCAAAGTGCTGGGATTACAGGCATGAGTTACCGTGCCCGGCTCTGTTTATTTTGCACGTTCCCGCAGATGTTTATTATGCTGCTTGAGGAACAATTCAGCTATACGAACAAACTCGGTAGACTATCATGAAATTTAGTAATAAACTGCAGACAAAGCATTTAGTTAAAGCACAGACTGTTGAATTTCCAGTCGTGCTTATACCAGTTCCCTGTGTAAACTCAGGTGTGTCATTTAACCTCTCCAAATTGTTTTCCTATCTGCAATATGGTGAAAGTGAGGATTATGAAAAAATATTCCATGTTAAAGTACCTGGCACGCAGTAGATGCTCAGTAAATTCTTAGTATTATGCTCAGCACCTAATTGCCATGTGAGTATTAAATAAATAAATCTGTTCCTTATTACAATTATGCAAAAAAAAACTGCTAGATATTAGTATTCAGTTGACTTATGTTAAATAAGTACTATAACTTCTCTCTTTACTGTCAAAATATTAAAACTACTAGTGTGATGTGCAAATTATATACCTGAAACTATGATACTGAAATTGGAATTTGGCTTTGAGACAGAAATCTGCTTTTTCCAGAAATCTCCAAAGGAATTCAACAGTCAGAAGAGATCGGTTTTTGTTCTACAGCAAAACAATGGTATTCCGAACCTACGTTAACTAACTGAACACGTCGCACAGCCCAACACTTACCCCTCCTGTTTCGTTTCTCTCCTTGGCTTTCTGAAGGCAAGGAACAGCTATGCTTTTCCCCGCCGATAGCCTGAAACTTCTTACTAGGCCCCGCTCCTCACCCCATGGGAGAACAGTAAATCCTGACTGCACCAGGTGAGAGAAACAACAAGATGCGACAGGCTACAGAGTTCCTTGGGGAAAGTATTCGGGGGGCTCTAAGGTATCCACGGCGGACTAGAAGCGGTCCACTCAGAGGCCCCACAAGGAACCGCCCTATTCAACTTAAGTGACAGCCGCGCCGCCACCTCATCACCGCCCAGTTCACGATCTCGCCCAACACTCAGCCACGCTTGCGTGGCCCAAAACGAAGAGCCCCAGCCCCGATTCTTTCTTTCTCTACCATTTCAGTCGCCTTTAGGCTTCCTTGTGCAAAAGCGACAGAGACCTGAACCCACCTGGTACAGATGCTGCTCTTCTACGAACGCCGGGTCTGGAGTGAGAGCGCATGCGCCTTTCCCAGGCATCAGTCACGTGACTGGAAGTGGCCGGGTTCTGATTTGCTCGGTATTTGATGAAAAGGTCTTAACGTGGGTAAAAAGCTGGGATTTCTCTGTTGCGCATGTGCGCGCTCTCAGCCTGATGGGAGTTGTAGTTCCGAAGGTGAAGCTGGGCGTTAGTATCAGGAAACCAAACTGCAAGCTTTGGGAGTTGTTAGCTGTCCCCGCCCAGCTCCCCGCTACAGAGAACGCCAGAGGGAGGCGGCTGGCCCAGCGTCAGGCTCTCAGAACCTGTACCCGTGATGCTACTGCTATGGGTGTCGGTGGTCGCAGCCTGGGCGCTGGGGGCACCGGCCCCTGGAGCAGGAGAGCAGAAGCGTGTAGCAGCCAAAGCCCCCAACGTGGTACTGGTCGTGAGCGACTCCTTTGTAAGTACCGCGAGGCAGGGGAGGGACGCCGCGCTAGGGACCGGCGACCTCCCCGCCGCCTCCTATGCTGCAGGCTTTGTGGAGCAGAACCTGAGACATTTCAAACACCTTTTACCCCAATGCAAAGAAAGAAATACATTTATATAAGGCCCCCTGTATTCACACATACACCACATACCTATGCAAGCATATAAAACAATAGTAAATGAAACACTGAAAACATCTTTGCAAATCTTTTCTTTTTTAATACTGATATATGTTTTAGAAGGAGAAAAATAAATTATGTTACCACTACTAATTAACTTTGTAGTCCATACCCCCGTTTGGTTTGTGTGGCACAGTAACATTCTACAACTCCATAAAAGCGTGTTAGCTTTCCAAAAGTCACTTCCCAGTTCACTTCAAGATTGCAGGAATTCATGTCTGGGTGAGAAGTGAGGAAAGTTTATTACTCAGATTTGTGATAATCCTGTTAGTGCTGATTTAAATGGAATCGTTGATATAACTTGATCCACTCCCCCATATTCCAGAGAAATTGTGTGTATGTGTGTGTGTGTGTGTGTGTTGGTAATGTGGCTGAATCCCAAACTTAAACAGTTTTTGAAACTTTTCCAAGCCAAAGGTGCTACTGTCAACCTTACCCGATGCTTTTAGTATGATCGATGTTTTCAAAAGTGCTGATTAGTCAATTGTTTGGTTATTAATTGTAATATTAGTTTATTATCACTAGGTATTACTGTGGTCACACAGATGTTGGTGTTAAGCATATCTGGTACTAAGGAGTGTTTGTAATCATTATGTTGTATTTCCTTTCTTATAGATAGATCAACCCCTGATGATTAAAATTACATAGTCTAGATATGCTCATGGGATTTTTTTGAAAATAACACTTAAAGTTGCCTTTGTGATTTAAACTTAGAGTCTGGGCAGTACTGGAAATTGACTAGATGACATTTTATTACCAAGTGCTCTTGTAATCAAAGATAAAGGAAGCAGGATTGTGCAGAGGAGAAGCAGAATTTTGCTGCTATCTTATGAATGACAGTTCTCAAATTAAGATGGTGCTTCAGAGCTGCTTTCCAGATAGAGGGAGGAGAACAGACCTTTCTACCTGCATGTTGGATGGCCGCTGGTTGTGGGCTGCTCCTAGAATGGGGCGTGATGTTGGACAAGGCAGCTGTCTTCAGCAGAGGCAACTGCCCATTCCTAAAAGGGAATCACATGTTGTGTGAAACTTCCAAAGATAACCGAGAGATTTAGGTTTATTTTTTTAGTATTGTATGGATGCATAATTTTTTCTATATTCGTGCTTAATTTTTTTGCATTTGCATACTTATTATTATTCAAACTGTCCTATCTTTGGCCAATGGAAGCCCCTTCAGGTTGTTCTGAGTCCTTCTGACCCATCCCCATTAGTATTTGACAGCTTGCTTTAACAGAGTTCCATGTCCACAATGCATACTTCCTGCCCCACCTTGTATGTAGAGACCGCAATCTGCGTGTTAGGGTTTTCATTACATCTTGCTCTTTTCAGTGGACAAATCTAGAAAGTACATATATTTTAGAAAGAGAAAAATAAATTGTGAGAGCATACTGATACTTTCCATTTAAATTTAAGATTACGAGTTTATTCTTTAATTTTTATACTTGTATCTTTTTTTGTCTTATGCCAAATATTTTGGCCTAAATACATTAATACAATTACTTATTTGCTGTATCCGAACATATAATATGTATATATCAATGTGTTTGAAAATAAGACAGTAATATTACCAGAAATAATGATAGTTCTGAGTGCAGCTTATAGTTTCTTTGAAGTTTTTGCTGTAGGTATATTCAACTATATACTAAAAATATTGGTCTTTAAGCTTAAAATAATTCCTCTCTCCATGATTATACCAGTTTGTTATTATTAGATTATTAGTGAGATTATATACAGTTAGATTCTTGACACTGTGATTTATCGTTTCTAAAACTCTACAAGCTGATGGAGTTGATAGGGCAGTTGAGCTGATAATAATTGTGGGAAGAAAATAGCACATTGGTTTTACTTTCAGAATAGCAAAACAAGAAGCTTTGCCGACCCAACTCCCAAGAAAATAACCAAAACAAATGAAAACTCTTTTTTAAACTATAAATAAAAGCTATTAAATATTTGAAACATTTAAAATGTCTGGAAATTGTCCTAAGGGCATACACCAAATGAAGAAACATTTATTCAAGAAAATCTAAAACTTGGTAAGAATGACAAGAAGAGACTGTGGCAGTGGACTATGGCTTTGACAGAGGTTTCACGCAGGTGGCTGTGTCCAAGAAGATAGGACTCCTCCCCTCAGCTCCCAATCACCAGTTATCATATCTCACCATATGGGACAGGCTGTGAGGCTTTATCATCTTCTCCTAATCCAAGTTGGAGAGGTTAAATTCCTAGTGAACAAAGCTGAGAAGTTGAGGGCTTCCTTACTTCAGTCAGCCCCCACTTACAAGACAAAGACTTTATGCCAGGTGCAGAAGGCTGAGAATACTAGGACCCTAATTGCCATGGCCCTAGCTCTCTAGTAGGACAGAGGTTCCATACCAGGAGAGACAAGTTGAGAAAACCAAACAGGCTTCTGCAAAGTAAGCAGAATGGAGGAGTAAGGATTAGAGCCGAAATTAAGTAAACAGAGAATGGAAAAATAGTAGAGAAAATCAATGAAACCAAAAATTGGTTCTTAGAAAAAATCAGCAAAATTGACAAACCTTAGCTATACCAACAAAGAAAAAAGACAAAAGAGCTAGATTACTAAAATCATGAAATAGAATGGGTACATTACCTTAAGAAATAAAAGAATTACAAGGGAATACTTACATAAAACAACTGTATGTCAACAAATTAGGTAACTTAAATGAAATGGACAAATTGCTAGGAAGGCACAAACTACTAAAACTTGAATCAAGAAGAAATAGACAATCTGAATAGACCTATAAGAAGTAAAGAGAGTGAATTGGTAATTTTAAAGCTACCAACAAAGAAAAGCACAGACCTAAAAGGTTCCACTGATAAATTCTACCAAATACTTAAAGATGAATTAGTACTAATTCTTCATCTACTCTTCCAAAAATTAGGAGAAAACATTTCCAAACTATAAGATCAGTTCAGCTGAGTGCAGTGGCTCACACTTGTAATCCCAGCACTTTGGGAGGCCACGGCAGGCAGATCTCCTGAGGTCAGGAGTTTGAGAGCAGCCTGGCCATCAAACCCCATCTCTACTAGAAATACAAAAATTAGCCAGGCATGGTGGCAGGCATCTGTAATCACAGCTACTCGGGAGCCTAAGGCAGGGAGAATTGCTTGAACTCGGGAGGTGGAGGTTGCAGTGAGCCGAGGCATGCCATTGCACTCCAGCCTGGGTGACAGAGCGAGACCCCATCTCAAAAAAAAAAAAAAAAAAAAAAAAAAAACCAGTTCATGCCTGATTCCAAAGCCAGGCAAATACATTATAAGGAAAGAAATCCACAGACCAGTATCCCTTAGGAATATAAGAGCAAAGATCCTCAACAAAATGGATTTGGCCCTCCATACTCACAGATTCTGAATCCACAGATTCCACCAATCTCAGATTTTAAATATATGTATATATATGGTTACTTATGGGATGTTGAACTCACAGAACTTGACTTTTCCTATCCATGGGTTCCACTGGGCTGGCTGTGGGACTTGAGCTCACAAAGATTTGGTATCCTTGGGATGTCCTAGAAACAATCTCCTACAGATACCAAGATACAAATGTACTAGCAAACCAAATGCATTAGTATGTAAGAAGGATTATTCACCATTGCCAAGTAGGATTTACCCCAGAATGTACACTGAATTTCGTACCTGAAAATCAATTAATGTAATACATCATGTTGACTGAATAAAGGACAAAACCCATGTGATCATCTCAATAGATGCAGAAAAAGCGTTTGACAAGATTTAACAATCCTTATGCATTCAACTGACTAGAAATAGAAGCGAGCTAAAAGGCATCTACAAGAAAAGCCAGAACTTTACACTGAATGGTTAAAAAAAAAAAATTTCTGACTAAGATCAAGAAGAAGACAAGGATGTGTGTTCTCACTACTACTATTCAGCATTGTACTAGGGTTTCTAGCCAGAAAATTAGACAAAAGATCAAATAAAAGGTATCGGTATTGCAAAGGAAGAAGTAAACGTATCTATACTTGAAGTAATCTTGTATGTAGGATTCTACAGATCCACTATAAAACTGTTGAACTAATAAATCAGTAAGGCTGTAGGATATAAGATCCGTGTACAAAAGTAAATTATATTTTATGCACTTAATTGACTAATACGCTTATAGTCAAATTAAGGAAACAGTTCCATTTAAAGTAACATCAGGATGGATGAAATACTTAAAGTAAATCTAAGCAAAGAAATGTAGTTCTTATACTCAAAACATTGTTGAAAGAAGTTAAAGAACATTTAAATAAATGAACAGACATCCCCTTTTCATGGATCAGAAGATTTAATATTGTTAATATAGCAGTACAGACCAAATTGACCTATAGATTCAATTTAGTGCCTATAAAAATCCCTAGGACTTTTTTTGCAGAGATAGGAAAACTCATCCTAAAATTCATGTGGAAATTTAAGGGACCCAGAATAGCTAAAAATAAATCTTGAAATAAAAAGAACAAAGTTGGAAGACTTACACTTCCCAATTTTAAAGCTTACATCATAACTACACCAATCAATGTAGTATGTTACTGGCCTAAGTATAGATGACGTACAGATCAATGGTATAGAATCAAAAGTCCAGAAATAAACTCTTATGCTTATAGTAAATTGATTTTTCAACAAGGGTGCCAGGCGCCAAGACCATTTTAATAAGGAAAGAATGATCTTTTAAACAAATGGTGCTGGAAAAAACAATATGAATGAAGCTGGACCCTGCCTTGCACTACATACAAACAAAAAAAAAAGTTAAATGAATTGATTGATTAATCAAATGTAA